TGGTTGTCGGATGAGGTATTATAAGTGTCGGAGTCGTGTCGTTCGATTGTAACGAAGGAAAATCCACGTAGATAGGATTTCCTTCTAAATACGCTGCTTTTAAGCGATCGATGCTGATGCTATCGTTGGTTCCGTTCTTATCGACTATATAGTACTTAGATTCACGTTGAAGAACTTTGAAGGGTCCTTCGTATGCTGATTCGAATGGTCGTCGATGCGAGTCTCGACGAACGAAAACGTGTGTACTATATCGTAAGTCAGGTTGAACAAAAACATCAGTTGATTGAGGTCGAGTGGAAGCAGGTTTAACTGAACGCATTGCGTTTGTAAGCCTGTTCGTGTAGGAGGTTAGATCCATGTTCATTGAAAAGGACGAAGGATCCACGAATTCTCCTGGAAGTCGAAGTGTTGTTCCATAAACCAGTTGAACCGCAGTGTATCCAATGTCAGCTTTCACTGCATTGCGGATACCTAGTAAGACAAGTGGAAGAGCGTCGGTCCACTGTGAAACGTTTGCAGCTGATAGCGAAGCTTTCAGTTGTCCGTGAAAACGTTCTACCCACCCGTTTGCTTGTGGGTGGTAGGCGGTCGTTCGGAAGCGAGTGATTCCTAAAAGTGTGGTCAGACGACGGAAAAGATCGGATTCAAACTGACGTCCGCGGTCTGTAGTGATGGTTGAAGGGCAACCGAAGTTTGCTTCTTACCGTTCGACGAAGGTGCGGGCCACTGTTTCAGCAGTGATGTCCTTGATAGGTACTGCTTCTGGCCATCGAGTGAAACGGTCTACGCAGGTTAAGAGATAAGAGTATCCATTTGAATCTGGTAAAGGTCCTACCAAATCCAGATGAACATGGTCGAAACGAGCATCGGGAGTTTTAGACGAGCCTAAGGGACATTTATTGTGTCTGATAACCTTAGATTTTTGGCAGCTTACACAGGAGCGTGCCCACTCCCTCACGTCTTTATTCATTCCAGGCCAGGAAAACCTTTCTGCCATAAGCTTGATGGTTGCACGAACACCTGGATGCGAAAGTTTGTGCAATGTGTTGAAGACATTGCGTCGATAATGTTTCGGCACGATTGGGCGATCCCTACCTGTAGATGTGTCACAAAGTAAGGTTTCCTTACCTGTTCCCATCTGTTTGATGCGTAGTTTAAGTGTTGTGGACGATAACTCGTGCTGAAGATCAGTGTCTTCTTTTTGAAGCTCGGCGAGTTTAAGAAGGTCGATTCCTTGGAAACTGTTCAAGGAAGTTATGCGAGATAAAGCGTCTGCAACTACATTGTTTGCTCCAGAGATGTGTTGAATGTCTGAAGTTAACTGCGAAATGTAGTCCAGTTGTCGAGACTCACGGGGAGAGTACTTGTCGGAAGGAGAGCTTAGCGAGAAAGTGAGCGGTTTATGGTCCGTGAAAAGAGTGAATTCACGACCTTCGATGTAGTGTTGAAAATGCCGTACAGCACAATACATAGCTAGGAGTTCCCTACCGAATGTGCTGTACCTCGATTCGGTGTCTAGCAACCTTCTAGAGAAAAATGCCAAGGGTTGCCAGGAGTTGTTAACCCATTGTTGTAAGACTCCTCCGATTGCCGAGTCGGATGCGTCTACTGCGATGCTAATGGGTGCTCGGGTGTCCTGGTGTGCAAGCATTGTTGCTTTAGCGATCAGTTCCTTAACTGTGGAGAATGATTTTCGTGCGGTGTCGTCCAAATTGATGGATTTCGCATTTCCACGAAGTTAGTCGGTTAGAGGTTTCATGAGTAATGCGCATTTCGGTATGAAACGTCTATAGAAACTTACGAGGCCGTTAAACGTGCGTAATTGCTTGACGGTGGTCGGTTCTGGGTAATCCAGAATGGCCGCCACTTTGGTCCTAAGAGGTCGAATGCCTTGAGCATCGATAGTGTGTCCTAGGAAGTCTAACGAGTCGGTTCCGAATTGGCATTTCTGAACGTTTACAGTTATGCCATGTTTTTGAAGTCGTTCGAAAACAAGATCCAGATGCTTGAGATGTGTTTCTCTGTCCGGACTTGCGATTAGACAGTCGTCAACATACGCATGTACGAAGTTGAGACCTCGAAAAACGTCGTCTATGAATCTTTGGAATGTTTGAGCAGCATTCCTTAGACCGAAAGGCATTCGCAAAAATTCATAGAGTCCGAAAGGAGTTATGATAGCTGTTTTCGGTATGTCGTCAGTAGCCATAGGGATTTGGTTATACGCTTTAACCAAGTCGATTTTCGAAAAGACAGTTGTACCTTTCAAAGTAGCTGTCAAATCGTGAATGTGAGGCAACGGGTAACGATCGGGAATGGTTTTCGCGTTCAATCGCCGATAGTCACCAGTTGGACGCCAATCATTCCTGTCCTTTTTAGGGACCATATGCAACGGAGATGCATATGGGCTACTTGACGGTCGTATGATTCCTAAGTCTATCATGTGGTCGAACTCCTTTTTCACCAACCTTAGCTTTTCGGGAGCTAGTCGTCGTGCTTTAGAGAATACAGGTGGTCCTGTAGTCGTGATGTGATGTGTAACATTGCTGGTTACACACGGTAGTTTCGGTTGAGTTTGTTGTATCCCAGGGTACTTATCGAGTAGTGGTTGATAGAGTGGGTCTATCATATGTTTAACTGTGACTGGGGATACTCTACAACCAGTAAAGGAAGTTACGCAAACGGACAAATTAGTGTTTCCGTCTACTAGCCTCCGTTTGCGAGTGTCAATGATCAGATTGTGGTGTTGTAGAAGGTCTATACCAATGATTGGCATAGAAACATCTGCAACAACGAAAATCCAGTGGATGGGTTTGCGTAAACCCACGTTAAGGTAAACGTACCTTTTGCCATACGTAGCGATCGGTTTTTCGTTTGCCGCCTGTAAGTTTAGAGCCGAATCTTGAAGCCGATCGTTCGGATTCGCTAGGAGAACGCTAACTTCTGCGCCAGTATCGACGAGGTAGCGAACTCTCGTTGTCACATCTGTGACGTATAACAGACGGCTATGTTCGCCGGCTACGGTTGCCGTTAACGCGTGCCGGCTTGGAAGTTTCCCGAGTTGTTTTTCGAGTCAGTCGGTTTCGTGTTGGGAAAATTGCAGGGTTTTCTGCAATTTCTGGAAAACTTTCCATACTGGTTATGATACCAGCACCAGTCGGGGTTATCTGTCTCTCGTGGTCTAGAGACAGATCGCTTACGTGAAATGCTTCTACGTGGAGTGCGCGATCTCTTACGGTCGGTACGGAGACTAAGATAACGCGTGAGTGTATGACATAACTCGGTTATATCATTCTGAGTCGTTTGAGGTTTTTCTGTGACTGAAAATACCTCGGTAGTAGAAGGTTTCGTAATTTCTAAAATGCGGTCGGCAGATGCAGCTAGCTCGTCTAAGGCGTTGTTCTGGAACGAGACCAGAACTGCTTGCACCTGTTGTGGAAGTTTTGACAAGAAGAGTTGTTTGAATAGACCTTCGTCGAAAGTTCTTGGGCCTATTACCTCTCTCATCCGTTGCAACATGTCTGTCGCAGAACCGTGTTGCAGGTCGATGTTATTGAAGAGTTGATCTAACCTTTCTCGAACGGTTAGGTCTCCTCGTTTAAGAATCGAGCGTTTTAAGATTTCGTAAGGATAGGAAACATCACTAGTAAACATACTAGGTGTTACGTACCTGTTGAATTCGCGCGGTAGTGCCTTGACTACTGCGAGGAATTGTGCACGTGTGTTGATCACGCCGTGCTGGGAGAAGTCGGCTTCTGCGTAGCAAAACCAGGGTTCGATGTTGTCGGGCCAGAAAGGCATCAGTTGAAACGAAGGCGGGGACAAAGTCTTAAGCTTGAGTACTTTAGGTGTGTGTTCAGTCATGATGAAATATGAAGTAAGATAATGAACGAGGGGAAAATATATATATATATCCAGGAAAAATTACGAAAAAAAATCACAATGTTTAAAAAAATAAAAAAATAAGGCAATGATATATAAAAATCCCAAAAAGGAACAGACTCACAGTTGCAATTAGGTGTACCAGATCACGTCGGGCTCACCAATGATGATGCCACAGGTATTCAGTGTTCGACAACGCTTCTACCAGTAACACCTTCTAATATATTTCGTTCCCGCCCAGAGAAATCAAAAGACAGAGTCGAGGAGATCGGAAGAGTATATTTGGCGATGACCAATATATCGGAATTCTCTGATCTAATCTGGCTAGCGATTGTGGTTGATGTTGAGCACGGCGTTACCACACGTGATCTGGTGCGGATGCATGACCGAGCGCCTTCAGCTAGATGAGTCCACTGAAACATATGGTCAGCATCCAATTTCGAAAACTTAGTGCTATTTATTTTGGGGATTTATTTACCGCTACACCTCACACAAATGAACAAAATATTTCATTTCAGTTTTGGTCAGTGCTGAACCCGATTGTTCTACAGGCATTAAACAGTACAGATCGGTTACAGTGGAGCAGTGAAACATTAGTAAGGAGGTGGAACTATGCCCGTCATATGTACGAAATGGTTCTCCATTGCACAACGTTACGGAACCTTATGTATTTGAGTGAAATCGTGGTTACGTAGATCAAGGTACGAAGGGAAACGACAAAAATATTAGACTGTCAAGGATTAATTCATAAGATGAAATCATAAAGCTCAGCTGTAATCAGTCTCATGAGCCTAAAACATATTTCGGACCATTTTATATACGGAGGGACACCATACATTGTGACTTTTGCTGATCACGTCGTAGAAGGGTAGGTTCAGGTTGAATAGTTTAGATTTTGATGGATGAGCATGCCTAGGCACTAATGCCAGTAGACTGCGGGACTTAGTTCCAGGATTGCCGGTTTATATGCAGAACTCTTGAATTAACTAAACTAATCCTGCCCACACCAGTCGTTAAATATCGATCAATCCTGAATTATTTTATCCAGATTTAATCACAAATAAGTTATTACAATCCATTTTTTTCTTCTGGCATTTTCACCATATTTGATTAGCTGCATCAATTTAATAGGTGCCTGGATCCTTGTTTGAAATTTGAATTAGTCATTTCGGTGTTGCTGTCCTCTGTTTTCACAAATGGCACAGAGGATCTTGGAACCATTCAGAAAATTGCCCCATCAATTGCAAAATCTTGAGATTGTTAAGCGAATACATGATTACACACTTGGGAAACATACCGATAGTTACTCTTGTCACCAGGTGAGTTCTTTTTCCAACATTATTTGCGATAGTCGTCTGCTTACGGATGTCTGGAGTCTCCAAGCGCTTTGGCATTCGACGAAGTTCTTGGCTTATTAGCTGTAGGAACAAGTAAAGGGGTATTAAAAATGTAGGTTTCGACGAACTCATCTCACATTCCTAGATATGGCTCGCCGGGCATTGTTTTCACTGTCCAACGAGAGGGTTCTCCGATCACTTCCCTTTTGTTTTTACCAGGTGAAGTAGGTCTTCTTTACACTGATGTCATACCTTATAGGGGCGGATTGTTTGCGCTTCGACTGACGGAACGTTAGATCTTTTTGAACTAGATTCTAGATGTGGACGATGGTCACCAACTAGCCAAGTGAAAGTTCAGCAAACGTAAGTTAACCAATAGGAAATTTCGTTTTTTTTAACAAATGAGGATATAGCTGTTAGGCATATGCTAAACGACAACCTCATTTGGATGGATTCATGCTTTTGCCTAAAACTCCACTCACAGACACGGCAGCCGAACAAGGTAATCTGTGCATCTCAAAAACAGTAAGACATTAGATCGCTAAATGTCTTTTCTAAGTAAAATGCACTGCTTTTTACTCCTGAAATCCGCGTACATTTTGCTTAGTAAGACTTGTTCCAATGACCTGAAGTTTATTTTGATGGATATTACTTCACAAAGTTGTTCATGGGGAGCTCATTGGTCTTGTTGAAAGAATTAGGCATTTCGTATAAACCAGTCTGGCAGGGAATCCAAGTCACTTGACATCCGTTTACAACTGAGTTCGTGCTTTCCACTGGGATGCAATAGTAATTAAAAAATTCGATTTGTCATGTTGGTTACTTGAGAACCTAGACACAATCATCGTTCTATCTCACCGTGTCCAGCTTTAAAATAGAGTTTGGTGAAGAGATTCGTGTGGCTAAAATTGTCTCATTTTTTCAGCTGTTATTTCTCACAGGTTGTGTCGTACAGTACCTTCACTTTCTAATATATACGAATGTGAAAATGAATGAGTTTTCAGCATGTAGTTTGGCTAACGTATTAGCAAGATGTCAAACCGTATTGACGTTCCTTGATCTGTATCTGCTGACAGTTGGTTCTAACGAGAATTTATCTTGTCAGGACGTTAATTTGTTAGTTTTGTCGGTGTAATACTTCCCTTATATTTTGTTGAATATAATTTCGACTGAAAGTTAGAAAAGACGGCATATTATTTTTCCGTTGCTATCCACAATCGTATTGTATGGTCTCGTCCTGTCGTTAGTGTACTTCACAGTATGGCGTACTTGTCGGTTTTCACGTGAATCGCCTTCAGAATTATCAAAAAAGACTCCAACTTATGTTTGTTTTGTTTGAGTGCAAATATGTACCTGTGCATAATAATATATTGAATACTTACATCGATAAATTAATTTGTACTTATTTACATTCACAGCGGTGAACAAGATCTTATTACATGTATTTGTCTTGGTCATGGTGTTATTTACATTGGTTTCGCAAACGGTACACTGCGTCAAGTTGCGGTTAAAAATGGTCATATGACACTGGGAGATGATACACTCACTGCATGTACAAGTTCAATTATCAGCGACAGGTAATTCCTTTAGTGTTTCCATGCATTGTTATTGGTAACTATCCTTAATTTGCTGTAGGCTGACATCTGTGAATACTTTTTAGCTTAAAATATTAATATTGATGTCTCCAAGTATAGTTAATCAAATTTGTAGTTAATCAAAACCAGTATGTGAATAGGTCATATTATTCTTTAAGCGTATTCCTATCACCAATGTTACTAGGATTCGTTGTATGCTATTTTTTTGTTTGTTTGGAGATTTTAGTGTGATTTTTGCACACGATTACTCTTTCTCAGTTAATCCGACTCCACTGGGTCAGTTTCTCAATCCATGGTCGAGCCAGTTTAAAAAGTAACTCTAAGTTTGAATCCTAACCGGTTAGTTGTAAGGGAAATGCTCACTCCCTTACATCGCTTCGAGGATTAACCTTACTCATTACGAGACGTCAGCAACCATTTGACATTAACCTTTCATGTAGGTTGGAAATATGTATGCCATTGTGTAGGTAAACATACCTAATCCACCGTCTGTATATACTACCAACGTGTAGACTTGCAGCCCAACAGAATAAATTTTGGTCTGTCGTCGTCTGATAAGATCCTATAGCTACTTATTATGAACTAATTAGGATCAGGTTTTCAAGCTTGCGTAAATAGCTCAGATTTTATTATTTATAGTGTGATTTGAATGTAGGATTCCTATAATTTGGTATGTTTTGTGTTTTAGTGTCCCCGCAGACAAGCGAGATCAACTTGGGGTAGACTCTCCCATTATATCCCTTGAATTACAACCTCAAGGTAATCATCTACTGATCGCATACGCAGGGGGCTGTGTAGCAGTGGCTATTCCTCAGCCTATTCCATCAGAAAGCGTTACACAACCAGCTGCTCCGGCGGATGTTGTCACTGCTCCTACAGCTCAGGGGGAAGTTGTTACTCCAAATGTTGTTGATGAGTTGGCTCCAACTATTCCCCAAGAAACTCAGGGTGAAGCAACACCAGGTGACAAAACTGAAGTAAATGGAGAGAAGTCTCAGCAAGTTTCAAACGACAGTGCTGTCGAGTCAACTCCTAGTACTCCTGCTAAGGGACATTCGGAGAAGCGATCAACCCTAAAGTTTAAGGCGTTGACACGTAGTTTGAGACCTGATGCGTCTAAAGCAGAGGCAAGTTTCTTCAATGTTTTGTTTATTTAGATTTCAAATATGTTTAGTTAGTGTCCGAAATTGGGTCTAGGCCAATCTTTTCTAAAATCACTTGCTCACACTTCCATTAGTTGCGATGATCGAGATACGCTTTACGTATTCTCAGGCACTCCCTACCTACTACTACTGTAAAAGTAGACTGATGGTCAGTATTTACATCTGCTTCACGTTTTTGTTCGTTCGTTTATATTAAAAGGATTTTTACTTGTTAGATTTAGAGAAATGATTGCTTGGTTTGGTTTTATCACGATCCAGCACCGTTCAAAGAGCTAGGTTTAACAATTCACAGTATTGTTGTGTCATTTTGGGGCGAGTGTTTAGTGTTTATTGGTGACCTCTAAAAGAGCTTGATGACCAATAGTAAATTCCATTGTAGGGTAGTCGTAATTTGACACTAACTTCTACATGACTTCATTCTTTGTGGAATGTGAAATTCATGTTTTTACCTTGTATATACTCATTTAGTGTGTCCTTAAGAAACCATCAATGCTAAAGATTTGCTTCCTGTTAAAATATTCTTTATTGTCATTCGATGTGAATGATTTTACTTATTTACTACTGACTTGCTATTGCAGAAAGAAGAACCATCATTACCTGTACCTCCAGCTCCTCGTATCAGTCATTTACTGCTTCGCGACCAACCAGTTGAATGGGCCTCATGGCGTGTTACATCCGTGGACTCTTTATCTACTGAAGTTGTAGTTGCTTATGGTGATGGTGCATTTCAGGTTTGGCCTATTGTTGCAGCTGTTATTGATCAACCGTTTGAGCCAATCATTGTATCAATGATAGATCCACCAAACACTCCATATGGTAAGCTTTTATTACCAATTATTTTACATCAGAGCTAAGGGTTTAAAAGTTCGAAGGCAATGTTAATCATGTCGATAATCCACATTGTGGTAGGATTCACGATTAAAGCTTTATTACTTAACCAATATGTTATGGCGGTAGGATTTCTCCATTAGTAGTTTGGGGTACACAGTCTGCTGGTTTTCCACTAACCAAGAAGAGAGTAATGGGGGATTATACATAAAAACAATCTAACCCTCCTTACCATAAAACTCTTCACTTTTTTGAAAAGTAAACCAAAATCTTCACTTTCAAGAACTAAGTGCCTAGTATCAAGCAAATCCCCAGTCACGTAAACTATTCCCCCTCTTATTCAGATGTTGATTTCTACGAAAAGAATTCATGTCGTGTATCACACTCACGCAACAATGACGCTCTTACCATTTTTGTCTTCATTGTTTTCTGTCGATAGCACTATTGTGTCCACGGTTTTCACAAATCCCTAATTTTTAACCGTTACTATCGATTTGAGTATGCTAATTACGATGCATAGTTTTCTGGAAATAATCCACACTAACTACGTTTTTTTTATGAGGGCTTATTTTGACATCCATCTCAGTTCCTTGTATTCAGAGCCTGCAATTATTCATAGGTCCATATCACTTTGCACCATTTACAATTTAACGGTCAGAAATGTACTAAGACGTAATTGGTTGCACGTTTTGTATTTTGGACTCATCATTTAGTCTTCAGTTACCCGTTTATCACGTTACTGTTTCTCAAGCGCCACATTATAGACTATTCTTTACTATTCGTTTTTCATGTATTATATTCAGCTCTTACACTGACGGCTTGATGGTGCGGTTGATAATTGGAATCATATACATTTAGCTAAAATCTTTTCCAGTTCCTTAAAAGAAGTTGTGTAGTGGAGAGGATATTGTCGACTCTCATGACATTCTTATGTACTACAGTAATATTCGTTCTAGGACTTTTAATCAACTGTACCATGTTATTAACTTGAGAGTCCTTGAATGATTTCGTATCAATATTCTGTCTTTTTCTAAAGGTCCTTTACCTTGTGGCGCAATAAATAAGATATTGATCAGTCCATCTGCAAAGTAAGTTAAACACTTCCAACTTTTTTCCAATATGTAAGCACCGCAATTCAAGTCGTGTTTTATATCCCTAAAAGGTATAAACCATAGGCTATTAGAATTATGAAAAAATTGTCTTGAATAAAGATCCGTGTATAAAATAGAACTAATTCTTATGAACTGTTCATAACAACTGGTAAAAGGATAAAAGGTGGATATGCTTTTGTTCCTGCACTCTATTTTCCTGATTTTATTGTGATAGCTTCACATGGGTTTCATATCTTCCCAATGCGAAATTGGATTCAATCTGCACGACTTTGTCTTAGCTCCAATCATTTGATTATACCTGGTTTTACATCTGGTTTGATAACATTGCTAATGGAAACTAATGACCCTTTAGGACAACTTGGAAACCTCGATTTGCGGTGTATACACAAAAATGTAAATTTAATAAATTATTTTCAACCCATAACATGCCGCTTAGTATCAGCTAAATATCAGAATAAACTTACTACCAAGTACATTTTCATGAAGCCCATGATACTACCTGGTTGGTAGGTGGAGTGGGGTTCGAACCTGAGACTCAGAGGCCGAAAGTTGAGCGCCTTAATCACCAAGCCACTTTTCGACATGTTTTAAAGTCATGGCTCAATGAGTCTAAAAATTTCTATTTACTGGTAGTAATTTGTCTAATACTGACAAAGTACTGTCAATTTACCTCTTAGGGAAGGCTATATTCAATCAGTGGAATATCATGTGGTGCTTTTAATTTGAACATGTGCTCACAGTACAATCTTGTCAATAGATTAATTGTTTATGTGGCTGATAGTCACTTGACTAATATAGGCATATAGTGTAAGTCATCCCGCAAAAACCACTCGGGTTTGCTTATAGATTTGTTTTCTATATTTATACAGGTATTCAAATTGTGAGTGACCAAACGTTTGTCTATCCTATACAAAGTGTAAAGATTTTTGAGTTGATTTTCATGATAGTTTTTGATTCATATTTTCATAGTTTATTTAACTGGAAAGGATAGATTTTTGCCTCCTCGTTTATCATAACTGTCATATTAGGTGTTTTATGCCTGCTCCATTCAGTTAACCAGTGATATAAAATATCCAAAAGGTCAAAATGGGAGTAAACAATCGGTTTATATTATGCGTCTTCTCCATTTCGCATTTATTTATTTCACTGTGAATAGAGCTTGGCCAACATTCCACATCGCTATTGCGTGTTCGATTATAGCCTCTCCCTTTGTGTAGTAGTGGGGCTTGTGTATTGTGGTAACTCAATGGAGCTATATTGACGGAAACATTTGCTTTACAGTCTCGCTACTACTATGCCATGGAGGTCTACTGGAGAGGAATGTGATTAGAAGCAATTACTTACGAAAAGACCATATGTATCCGGTCTCAAGCATTTGTCCTCTAGACTGATCACACTCCCATGTCGTCAAGACCATCCGTAACCTAGTCTTTTCTTTTAGATCCTTCGAGGTGTATCTTCCCACAGCGTGAGCAGACGAGTAGTGACAACTATCTTCATATCTGTAACAGCACTGTTGTATTTTTGACGGGGGTTGCGAATCTTTCCAATTTCATAGTCATTTTATGTAGTGTGGACTATAAAAATTGGTTTATAGTTCTATCGTATTGTTAGCTAAATCAATTTTCCATTACTTTCTATTTTTATATTTCCAATTAGTGCCGGTTTACTAACAGTGTTTTGTGGAGGTTTACCACGTCCCCAATTTGAGAATCGTTATGCAGTGTCTGTCTTACAAGATCATGAACATCATGTTTGTTATCAGTTTGGATCAAAGGTTATTGATTTTGTACTTGTACCGAGTGAAGGAAGTGTATCAAGTAAGGTTCTTCGTCTTTTTTAAGAGATTTTTGCGTCCTAAATCATCCTATTACAAAATCATTGTAGAATCATACGTACACCATCTTGATTTTGTGAAAGTCCATATTAATAATGAGTAACATTTAATACTATCTTGTAATATAGGCTTTTCACAATAAATATTTTACATATTAAGTGTAAGTCAAAGATAACTTGGCTACAGCTAGACATTATTTGATTTCTTTTTAAAAATTCCACATTCATTTTTTCTTGTTTTTTCCATTCCTTCCAGATGAAACGGTTTCAGGTGAAGTTGTGACTAAACCTTGTCCACCTAGTTATTCTGCTACATTATTAGTGCTTACTGAACGTGAACTTGTTGCGATTGATTTAACTCAACCCGATTGGCCTGTCTACGATTCACCATATCTTAATTGTATGGATTTCACTCCGGTTACAGCTATAACTCACATAGGACAGGTTTGTTTTGATATTTTGTTATTGTCCCGTTTTTTCCAGTACATTCTAGTCGTATGTAGATTGACATATTTTTAAAAGTTCATGAGGCAGATTAGCTTATATTATCTCAACTATATATTAATTCTCTAAAATGCAAGTTGTTTGTTTGTTCAGTCAAAATTCATAACATTAAATACCAAATGTGAATGCCTTCTAATTGATTTGGATGTGATAATATTTCATCGAAATTTTGCTACGTGCAGATTGAAATAAGTTGGTTAATTGTGCCGGTGAATACAAAGCATCAGTTTTTAAATGATTGGATAACAGTTTTCATATGATACATTTCAATGACATTGTTCTTTTGGTGGTGACACTATGTATTATATGTATTTTGACAGCTTTGACAAAATATCCATATATTGTATCAGATCTCATACGCATTGTTGTACTAGTCTATGCTTTATTATTTATGCAGTACTTAAATCTATGTAGAATATTCAATTCAGGAATCAAAACAATTGTGCTATCTGAAGAGCTATGTAGTTAGTGTGGTTAATTAGCATGGTTTTATTGGTAGTTTCATACATTACTTGTACTTAGTAGTAGTATGATTTTCTAAAAATTGTATTTGCTTATCTAGGTTCCACCAGCTCTAATCCATCGGCTACACCAAGCTGCTCAGATAACTTCAGATGATATTACCAACTGTTCATGGCCAATATGGGGCGGGTCTCATAATGGTAACAAGAAAAATTTTGCACAAAATTCTGGAAATGACGTTATCGTCCTTGGACATTCAAATGGATGGGTTACTTTATGGGCAGTTGGTCGAGGAGATACTACAATTCATCTGGGAACTTTACCAACTTCATCTTTGTTTAATTTAACTGATTTGCAAAATGGTCAGGTAGGCAGTCAATCAATACCCACAGTTCTTATGATTTTCTTTCATTACAAAACTTAGTATATACTAGTTCGCTCCCCATTCCAACCATAATTATTTTACGATTAGTCAAAATTCTTTAAAACCAGCATGTTCCTATCGAATTATTAACAATTAATTTGTCCAAAGTTATAAGAAATTTGTACAGACATCGTTTCATCTTTTCTTACGGCTTTTCAGGATCATATGCTTCTGCGATTTCTGAAAAACAAATCAAAGATTGTGTTCTAGTGAGCATGTTAATTAGGAGACTATGAATTACTTACCTTAATGTGTATTTTGATTGTTCAGCTAGTTATGAGTTGCGAATTACAAGCAAATCAATGTATTCAGTTTTGTTGTACATGTTGTAACTACATCATAATTTTTCGAATGAGTCTAGTTAACTCCAGAAGATAGTTCTGGAGTGTTCCTCATTTATAGCCATGAAACTAGCCGGGATGGGATTAGCTAATTGATCACAAATGATTTCGGAGCATTACTCACGTATAATGGGATAATGAAGTGAGGAGTGCTAAATAAAGATAATGAATAGGTTGGTTAGGTTGTGAATCTTAATGGAGTTAAATGATCGAGACATGTGTTACCTATGCCAAACCGCCACCTACCTCGATTCACAATGTTGACTAAAATTGGAGTAAGTTGGGAGGAAGTTAAGGGCAGTTAAATTCGGACATAGTTCTAGTTTATAAAATCCTTCATTATGTAACTAAGTTGTGTTGTAAATCCAAATTACACGTTAGCCGTGGTCATTATTTGAAAACGGGTAAGATGGTTCAGAACCGGTCACAGTGATGCAAATGCATTCACTTTTTATCTTTCCCTATATTGAGTTTCAGTATTCCTTCACAGACATCTTTTTATTGTTTCCTTGAGAACCATATAATGTTTGATCTTATTATCATTTATTTTGAATGTTTTGCTATACATTTTGTTAATTTAAGCTTAATATACTAAGTTGGTTTTGAAACTTTGTATACACAAAGATTTGCTAAAACGCTGTTAACTTAGAACTTATCATAACGACAGCCTACTGTCAATGAGAGCTCCGGAAATCAGGATGTAAATTGTTGGTCGTTTGATGCTTTTATGACTATTCATTAACAAAAGTTAAGCATTCCTAGTCGTTAACATTTTACATTGCTAATAGTAACGTTATTACTGTTACATTTACAAAATGATTACTGAAATTTTATTTTAATTTTCAGAAGTGTGGGAATTCGATATTGGAGGAAGAAACGTGGCCACCTTTTCGTCCAGTTGGTTATTGTTCTCGAGCACAACGTCAATCTGTCGAGAATTGTGATCCACGCTTGGCTATTACACAGTTACTTGTTTTACTGGGAAGTCCAATTCGATCGGGTGTTAGCGGTTCAATTGCACCGGATACATTGACACTCGTTGTGGGTGGTGCTGGTGGCCAAGTGAGCCTATGGGTCGCCGGTTCAGAAGGATTTTTGCATTCACCGGAACTTAGTTCTTTTGAGCCTGATGTATTCAGAATATGTGTTAGCCTCATTGATCATTCAGATGAGAATAAATATATTTGGAAAGATGCTTTATCTCTTCGAGTAAGTAGTCCACTTCATTTTTCTGTTGTATACCAGTGTTTAATGTAAGTGGATATTTGTTTAGATCCACTAAATGATCTGCAATTTCGCCCTACTGGTCATTTCATACTATGAACTTGTAAAACTCCAAAGGGTTACGTTTGTTTGTATTCAAGTGGTTGAGATGATAAAAAAATCCGAGCTCATTTTCTTTATCAAAAGCTTATATTTATTGTGGAATTATGACTAGGTGAATTATTGTGTAGAGTTAATACAATTTATTAACTAATGTAAAATTTACCTTTTTTGAATGAAAGTTAATACTTTGAATAATCCATCTTACACCAAATATGCACAAGTTTTCCTAAAATTTATGACCCCTCGAGCTATTGATTAATACTTTCCTTGTGCTCATAGCTTGATGAGGTAAAAAATTATAACTAGTAGTAAATGGTTTCTTTATTATTATTATTATTAATATTCACTTGGTATTGTATGCTTAAATCTTCCCATTGATGTTTAGGACAAGAGGTACACTTTGAATATTTCTCCTTCAATGTATTTCCATATGTACAATCTATTATTCCAATAGCAATGAAAATAGACACTTCGTTCCTTTTCAAATCATCAGATGCTGTCGTAAATTGAACACCAGGGTTAAATTTAACTAAACCATTAAATGGTTTTCTAAATCTTGTTACTGGTTCATCGAAAAATACACCGATCAATATGAACCAATAAAGTAGAGTGTACTGGACAGTTGTTTCTGTTCGTATTTGGGATCGGCAATTCTGCATAGGTTTAAATTCAAGATATTCATATCACGTCGAGCTCAGTACCAATCTTACCACTGATTTGAATTTTATCGGTTCGTGTTTTTCAACCTCTTAATTTGTCGTATTACATCACAATTAATCCTGTTGTGCATGTTTCTGATCAACGTTTTATCGATGTGTTGAGGTTTCTTTACAACAATTTTCCTGATTGTGATAACTTAATTTAGTACAACATTTTTACCGTTCTAAATTTCTATGCTAGTGAGTTGGGTAAAATAGAACTAACACGTAACCACCCCAACTCCGTAAATATGATTTTTATTTATCCAATACATTGATATTCTTTTTATACCTGTCGAATGATACAACATTGTTTTGCAAATTTGATGACCCATGCGATCTTTAATTTTGGAAGCATCCTTTGCCATTGTTCTCAATTAAATTGTCATTTACTCACTTTCATGTTAGTGTCTTGTGTACGAATACCTTTATTTTTATTGCTTACAAAGGCGCTAGTCAGTTACTCACTGAGTGTAGTACATTTGTCTAGTCCTACAATTGTATATTTATTTAATCTGAACTAATCACATGTTATTGTGTGCTGATTACAACCACTTGTATGATTTATTTTTCTTTTTAATTTCTAGCCTACCGAAGGTGTCCCTCATTATTGCACACCAACTGGACTAACATTTCATCCATGTCAACTTATTCAATTAAATCCTCCTAGCCAGATTACATCTCTTGCATTGGAGTTGTCTTGGAATCTATTGGCCATCGGTTCTTCACACGGATTTGCTTTGTTAGACTTATTTGATCGTTCTATAATCCATGCTCATTTCACTTACGATTCATCAGGTCCTGCAAAGATTGTTAATGCTGTTGCTAGTAAGTTAATCGTACTGTGATCCAATGGTTTGTGTGATATGTTTGATGTCAAATAATTGTTACTTGTTAGCTCCTATTTTATTCATGTTTATTTTCAGCTGTACAAAATGTGATAATGGCTCGAGGAAGACAGCTTACATCAACAATGAGACAATCATTTAGACGTTTAAAACACTTTCGTACTTCAACAGCGAGCTCTGAGAAAACTTCGAGCGAACCTACTGCACCAGCTGATGAAAATCAAACAACGCCGCAACAAACCGAAAAGAGTCTTGATGAAACCTCACCTAAAGGTATATCCTGACTATTGTATAACGTAGTTTTTAAATGCTGTCATTGTGACTATTTTCACATCTAACTGCACAAAATAAGAAGTATGTATGCCATGATTTTTTTCTCAGCAAAAGTTGGTGGTAGTTGAATTGTTTAAGCGTTTGACTCTTAAAAACTTAACCACAGGTCTAGACCTCCATCTACTTCGTTTTGGTCGACCTGTTAAAATCATCAGCTTGGAGTGCGCTCCAAAGCCAAATACACTAATTTCTTCTAGGAAATTACGTTAAAAATAATAATGATAACAACTACGGCAAAACAATTTTCCAGTGCATTCAGGTCAGTTATAATCTTCATTAGGATGCTAGCGCAGCTACGCTTAAGTGTTACCGTAAGTAGGATTTCTAGACTTAATTTCTGATTAGCAAACGTCGTTTTTAAAGTGTGAATCAGTCAGTCGGCAGTCCACTATAATACAGGACCAGGTACATATATGCATCAGTCTAAGTTGCCACGTCTCATTAGCACAACAAAATGAACACCAAATTCATAGAAGTAGCTACTTCAATAGTGGTGGTAATATATAAAAGAAAGATTGTGTATAAGCATATAATACAGGAAGAGAGAATTAGTTCGTAGAAAGAAAGATAAGAAGCGATTTTAATCTCATAGTTTAAAGGAAAACAGAGAGTGTATACACCTACACCATTGTGATCGATTCTCAGCCATATCATCCACAGTCTCCAACCATTGGTTATGATAGTGGCGCGGACCCCAACCGAGTCGTTTATATCTAGCAACATGGCTCAGACCAAATGGTGGTGACTTTGTGAACTGATGCCACATTTTAGTTTGACCGCCCCTAACTTTCTTTTAATCGTCTCGAACACTAGTCAGCATTGCGCGTCTTGGTAATCGGTGTTCAGGTATATGTAACACGTGGCCCAACCATCTCAGTCGATGAAGATTTACAACCTCATCAACTGATTTACCATCATTCTCTAATACCCTGCGTCTAACCTCACTATTATTTACCTGGTGATCCATCAGATGTGAGCAATATTTCTAAGATATCTGTGAACAAATACTAGTGACTTACGAGTATCTTTTACCCTTGATGGTCACGTTTCGCAGAACGAACTGTTGCGCAGTATACTCGTCCCTTAATTGACAGACGGATGGATATCTCACCTTCATCATGGGTGACATAGGTTGGCAAATACCAAACGAGCTTTCTGAATGCGCGCAGAGATTTCGTCAGATATCAACACATTAGGACTGATCAGACTTCAAAGAAAAGTGAAATTGTCAACGTGTTTGACTATTCCACTCCCTATCCTTAGTTCAGGTGTTGACACAGGCCAGTGTGGAATCAATCAACAATTAGCATTTAGGAGGGGAGAAACGCATCTCAAACATCCTGACATTGTAGCTCGGTGCTATCAAAAGACTGTATTTTATCAGCGTGTTCACCAAACATGACTATGTGGTCTGTGTATTCTGGATGGATAAGTGGACGTTGTGGAAGGAGATTAATTCCTGAAAATGCAGTCGACGAGAATGTTATTTCCAGCACTAGCTCTATGATGAAATTAAGGAGTAACGGATATAGTAGACATTATTGACGGACACCACGTGAGGTTGCAAAACCAGATAACAGGGTGCGTACATCGAAGCCTCCAATGTCCGGTTCGAAGCGGGGTTTCAGTAGATATGGAACGGTGTTTCGCGCACTGGAATCGTTGGTCATGGTGACACTTGACGAGGAAGATATTTAGAGTTGAGAGTCGAGGTAAGAGGAATAATAGGTATTGAAGACGGTTATTGATTATGAATACAGTGATATTGAGTGCTGTTAGTGATATTAGGGCGGTTACCGTTTCCCGGTTGCTCACACCCTGGAAGGGTTCTTCTGGAGGTACCTGGAAAGGAAATCGGATTAGAGGTGGTCTTAATGACCTGAGAACGTGACCGCAGTGCATAAAGCACAACTGTTTGATTTCGGTCTCACACAAACTTTTTGCAAGCAGTTTTTGTGTTAGCTCAATACTTGTTGGGACATTACCACCGGAAACGGATATCCGTGGGATAAGGCGAGATGTGCATTTTTAGGGTCGACATTTTCTAACTCCACTCTTCCTTGTGGGAAGGCGGCAGCGCTGTTATGCTGGTTGTCTGAAGGAAACACCTCACTGCCGTCACACTTCTGTACAGTCAGCAGTACGACTTCGCCTTCGGATCTTGGGTTTGCTGCTTTTAGTTTTACTTCTTTTCAACCGCCCCACCTGTCATGGTAGAACCTTGAGGAACGATTGTTTGAGCCAGTATAACTTGATTGTTCATCAGGATAGGCATGCCCGACCACTACGTCAAGGTAGCAGCAATGGTCGGGTGTGTGTGAATACTCTTCTTTGGTACTTTATTTGTAGTTATTCGTTGCGTTAGTATACCTTAATCTGTGTAGATATTCCTTATCATGCATACATAATTTTACTGTTTCTTACAATCTGTTAACCTTTTCATCATTATTTTACTTCACAAACTTTAAGCATTTTCAGTTCCATGTAAACGCATACTTCACTGAAATGTTAAAATTCTTATCAATTGTTTCACAGATGAAATTAAAGAACAAGATCAGCCTGTTGAACCAGGTGAAAAAAAAGAAATCCAAGAAAATGTTGAAGCTGTAGGAGTAACAGAGCAACCAACAACTTCTGTAGAATCTGAAGAACCGAAACAACAATCAATAACGGATAATGCTGAGGTTGATGTTCCTCCTGAACCTATTCAACTGAGCCAAGAGGATATAGTATCATCAGCTGTTCGTTGTCTCCTGTTTTCTGAGACGTATGTTCAAGTGGGAGACCGTGCTCCTTCTGTCTGGGTTGGTACAGCTTCAGGTAAAGTGTTGGCTTTTAATTTGTCATGGAGAGGTACTGCTGGACCCGTTAAGGCGACATTGTCCAAGGAATTACAATTACATCATCACTCTCCGATTGTTTCTTTGTATATCATCGATGCAGTTGATCATGGACCAATTATGCATAGCCAAGCTTACAGGTATGTACAGTGTACTCAGTAGCTGTTTCTATTATTTCTACTGTTAGATTTCTTGTTATCTGCACTACTTTACCATTTTCGTCCAATTTTAATAATTTTCTATTTTCAATTTCTATTAAGGAATTCGTGTGTCGAATCAGTTGAAAGTAATGAGAAAAAAGAATCTGCTCAACCGTCAGAACCTCCTGCTGAAGTTTCGATGGATGGTGGTAAAGATACTGAAATACCTATTCAATCAACATCAGCCACACAGGATGTGCATCAATTACTTTTGTGCTCTGAGGAACAAGTTAAATTGTTCAGTATACCTTCACTTCGTCCAATTTATAAGCATAAATTTATTGATCGCCTTCGTATGCTTGGTATGTCAGTGACTTCTGGTGCTGGTTCAACTTCTAAACCAGAAAAGGAAGTGGTTGAAGAGGCAGCAGATACAGTTGTTGGTGAGAGCGAGGTAAATATTTCCTTCATTTTCGTGACCTCGTACACAATAGTCCATATTATTTATTGCTTTATTCTATTTTCTGATTTGTGATTTCATGTAACTCTTACCGAGTACATAAGTTAATGCATTGGTTTTTGTGAGGACGGCACCCGAGTGAACTCAAGGAAGCTCAGGAAGAGTCGAAGAATAGTCAGAAAATTACAAAATTCTTAACAGCTTATTAAACCACGCCAAACCCTATTGTCTCATATGGAAAGTCCCTTGCTGAAGCTATGTTTGGACACTTCAATTTGACTCAAAATTCGGACTTTGATATCAGCATCTTCAGGAGATCGGGGACTACATACAAACGCAAGATGCTTAAACTGGTCTTCTGCCATTATCGATAATTCAAAACACTCACACTCGTGATTTACTATGCTAGCTTGTCTCACCCGCTCATCGTTTCCAGCTTTTGCTAACTTGGTAACGAATATCAAACAAAGATGACTGTTCACAAAAGATTTGCTACAAAATTACGTCCGCCACATCAACTGAAAGGTCTCTCACATTCTTGGAATAATAAAATTAGTGTACCGTTCATGTTCAGCTATGCCAAATTTGCGTAGTAGTACTCGGACCTTTGCGGCGTCATCAAATGTTTATTGGTCGACTTCGAATTCTTCTTCCTAACATAGCTTCAGAAGGGGACTTCCCATCTGGGACAATAGGATGGAACGTAGTTCTATAAGCTGTTAAGAATTACATAATTACCTGACTTGTCCCCTCGTTTCCCCCTTTCAGTAATGCTCTTTTAAATGTGTCAACGAAGCTCTCTGCCTGTCCACTTGATTGAGGGTGATAGGGTGGAGAACGTATATGTGTAATTTCATTAGTGCTACAGAAGTGCTTGAATGTCGCTAAAACGAATTGTGAGTCGTTGTCAGTCACCAAAGTCTCCGGGACACCGAAACAGCTAAATAATTCAGATAACTTGCTAAATTGTTTCACTGACTACACAGTTTGCCATAGCATAGTTTTGTGGCCATTTCGTGAGTTCATTCACTATGACTAAAAACGTTTGTCATCGTACTGGGGCTGCGAAATCTGCGTGCAGCCTCTCCCAAGCACTATTAGGCTTTTCCGTTGTTGTGGTTCACACTTATTTGGACTTTCGAATGCTTTCAGACACGACGAACAATTGCGGCATCTAGTTTCGATATCTTGATCCATTGTAGGCCAGTAAGCATAGCTTTGAGCCAAAGATTTCATCAACATCCCATCCAATCATCTCTCGGAAGAACATTCCAGAATATTGACGTGTAGCTTTCTGATTGAACAAATGCTAAAAACCACTGCATGCGGATTGGATGGGTGTAATGATGATTTCATTTTTACTAAGAGCTTGAGAGTTTTGTACCATATTTGACAGTTTGGAATGACATTCCTTCTCACTTGCGATTTAGAGGGTTTTAGCGGCCGAATGTTCAGGTATTACGCGGTATAGCAAGAATCTAATCTCTAGATATAACAGTTTTGGAGCCATATTGGGAACGGTATCACAATAAATATTATGATTTTTGACTGTTATTTATGAATAGGTTGTATATGTGAACGCAAGCCAGATTAATCCCAAACGTGTGACAGGGTTTGGCCTTCAGAATTTTACTTCTGGGTCCGGAGAAAATGCTAAACTCGAATGGAATGCTGTTGCAACGCTACTAGATGGACAGATTGCTGTACTGTCTTTGCCTAACCTTCGTAAAGTATTCAAGGGTGAGTCCACTGGTTAGCATCATTTTCACTCACTAGATATGTTTATCAGCTGAACGATAATGATAGGAAAAGTAAGGAATTATTCGGTTGAGTACATTTTATGCAGTGGTAAATTCACGTGATTAATACAAAAGTCAACAAAGATTCCTCAATCGATTGATACCTTTTGGTTATAGTGTATTTTCCGAGCTAGTTAGTCTACTTGCGAGGTTGTCATTGTTGTTCTGGACAACATCATCGCTTACTTCACTTGGTAATGAGCGATTTAATTGACCCAGAGGTCAATAGAATAAATTACTCAACAGGCACAAAATGACATAAAGATAATAAAACCCTTGTACACAAGTTGGAAATAACATTGTCAGAACAAGCTGACTCAAAATTTTTGGAGTAATCAAAATGTTCACTTCTACTTGGGGTTTGCACTAATAATGTGTTGGGCAACAACGAAAATTTTGCGATTGAAAAGATTCTTTACCTTAATATAATCGGAAATATCGACTGGGATTACAGATCTCCATGACTTTTGAGTGGTTAATGAAACTGTGCCATCCACGATAGAGCCTTTTTGTTTCATTAAAATCATTAATCAATATAATTGAACCATTGTTTAGATGTAATATTATGATTATCGTATACGTATTTCCCAGTTTTTATTTATTGAATTAAGGTTCATAACTATCGGTTTACGTAAAGTTTATTATAAATTCCTTTTTTAGAACGCTGTTATCCTGGTTATCTACCTTCATCTACACTTCCCTGTGTTGCCACGCGTACGTATAACACTCATGTCTTCTGGTCTATAGGATGTCGTCTTTTAGTATCCGAACTCAATCCTATTCCTTTGTTGAATTCATTCGCAACACCAGTTAGTGATATTATAACAGATGATTTTATTGCAATCCATTTACCCGAATGGGCTAGAACGGCTAGTAAAGATGTATCAGTCGAAAATGAAAATTTAAAAACATCCAACCAGACAAACTTGGTTTCTGAACCTCTCCAGGTATTATTGTTTGCATATTATATAAGCATTTTCTTTTTCCTACCTTTTCGTCATACATTCACTGTCTACTAATAATTATTAACATCTGTTATTTCAGAGTACTGGAAATATTGCCACTGACGAGAAAACAAATGGTTGCGCACCTGTAGTAGAAGAGGAGATTATACCAACGAATAAGATGAATGATACTATACTAGAGAATGGTCAGAATATTGGTGATGTTACATTGGATTCTATCAAGGAATATTTGAATGGGTAAATTGTAGTATTAAGTTTATTTAATTAATTATAAATCTGTTTTGTATTTATTTTCTTTATATGTTCATACTTGTGATGTAAAATTTTCACTGGATTAGAATGAAATTGTATATTATAACACTTGGTTATTTATTGTTCTTCAGCACTGATGTAACAATGGTTGTAAAAACAACTGAACTGTCTACTGAAAAGCGTACTCTTGTAGAAGGTGGAAAAATTACAACTACCGTTCATGAAGTAGAGAAGGTTGATGGAAAAATTACAAAAGACGATGTTGTTAAGTTTGTCGCTGATGGTGAACCGGAGGTGGTGAGTATTACAGGTCAGTTTTATACAACATGTTAACTTATTGATTTAATACTATTGATGGGATTAGAAAATTGTGCTTGTGGTTTTAAAATCTCTTTAATTTTCTTGTTGTAGTATCTTAGGTTATAGCGATTGATAATGGTGTTTCTGAAGTGTTTTCTGTTTTCATACCCAGCATCTTGTTTTTATTAAATTCCGAGCATTGAATTACCGGTATTATTTTCATAAATTTACAGTGAACGAACTACAACTTTAAACAAATGATCGTCAAGTTATATGTGGTGATAAATTGTACATAATTTAAATTCTGTCACATCGTTTACACTGTTTATGATGTTCAAGCTTTGAGAATTTAATGGTCGAATGTGAAGCAATTATCTATCCATCACAGGCTTGGTGTAAATAAGACGTCATGTGTTCATACTCTGGACCGAATGTTCTGCGTTCGATTCACGGTTTGGGGGATCGTGGTTACACACTGTTAAGAAGTCCCACATTAGGACGAGACAACCGTCCAGTGTTTTCAGGTTTACATTGATGGTCTAGCTAAGATATTAGTTCGTGGTTTAAACCACAAAAAGTTTTCTAAATGTTTCACTGCCGAATTTTAAATCACTTTATTGTTTATACTGGGGTGTAATCTACTATCTAGTTTATTGTTTAAATTTTCCTAGAAAAAGCAAATTGTTAAGATTTGTATGGTCACAACATTGTCATAACATTAAGATCTAATATTCTCTGTCTATTACTGTCGATGGAACCTTGTCTAGATTTAATAATTTTTTTGTTTGCCAACTACATATATTGATTCCTTAAGACACTATTCAATGGAATCCCTCTAAACTTTGATAATTATTCAACCACTCTACTGTGTTGTCCTTTGGGTTCATACAGGAAGTCAGTCAGTAACAACGTAGAACTTCGTACGTACGTACATCAGTTCGAGTTGCCACACCACATTAGCACAGAGATGCAGTTGTCGATTCAAATCCCATAGTGGTAGAGGTAGTAAGAGTATAAGCAGTAATCGGGAGGATTAGGGTTTAGAGATTATATTTAAAGAGTATAATACAGTGAAATAAATTTGGGAAGAGAAAAAAGAGACAAGGAGGAATCAGGAGATTAAAATTTGGAAGAACACAAAGAGTGTATGCACCTGCGCCATTGCAAGCGATTTTGAGCCATGTCATTCAGGGTCTCTAACCATCGGTTGCTATCATCTCGCGGTCCCCAACCAGGTAGTCTACACCTACCAACATGACTCAGTCCACTTGTCAGTGACTTCATGGACTTGTGCCATGTTTTGGTTTGGCCGCCCCTAGCTTTCTTCCGACCTACTCCTATACCACTGAACATAGCACGTCGAGGCAGTCGGTCGTTGGGCATACGTAACACGTATCCCAGCCATTTCAACTGATGAAGTTTCACCACTTGATCAATTGATTTGCCATCCTTACGTATTACCCGTTTCCTAACAACTGCGTTACTTACTCGATGGTCCCAGGATATACGAGCAATATTTCGAAGACACCTATGATCAAATACTAGTAGCCTACGAATGTCTTCTACTCTTACCGGCCACGTTTCACTGCCATAAAGTAGGACGGAACGAACTGCTGTGCAGTAAACACGTCCTTTGGTTGATAGACGGATATCTTGCCTATGCCATAAATGACGCATGTTGGCAAAAGCTAGTCGAGCCTTCTGTATCCGTGCTGAGATTTCGTCACACACCAGACCACAAGGGCTGATGAGACTTCCAAGATAAGTGAAGTGGTCGACACACTCAACTACTTCACTCCCTATCACTAGTTCAGGTGTCGATGTAACCCAATTCTGAAGCAACATTTTGCATTTCGAGCAGGAGAATCGCATCCCGAACATGCTTGCATTGTTGCTTAGAGTGGTCAGAAGACTCTGCATTTTGCCAGCGTCTTCACCAAATAAAACTATGTCATCTGCATATTCCAAGTCAACAGGAAACTGAAACTGAAAGACCGATTGTGAATTTGGAAATAGTATGTTTAGAACCAACAAAGTATATACTTGTGAATATGAGTAGCGTATAAGTAAACTATATTCACTTTTTACATTACACCAAAAATAAAATAAATCCAAACTACTTGGTTGGGGTTCGCCTAATTATTGTAATAAATAATGGTTGAAGATGTTGGATCACTTGGCTAAGAATCAGTCGCAGAGATGCAAATACCATTTCCTCCCTCCCCCTTTATTTTCTCGATCTTTCTACTTTTCATTCTTCTTGAATCATATTATCTATACCGAATTTCTTTTTACTACCATTGATACAGTTATTATTTCAAACATTCTTTATGTTTCATGTTATGCTCTAGCAGTTTGGACTTATTTTTTAAGTTCTATATTGTTTATAACTGACTGAATTTTTTCTTATAAAAAAAGCCATCCCACTAATCTGAACTTGAAATGAAAAGTGTTTTTTTCCTCTGAATTTATATTCCAGTGTTCGTGTTTGTTATCTGGTATTTTGATTGTTAATACTGGGTTGATGTATGTTATTAATTTGAAAGTTTTTCTTTCCTATTGTTCATTTTAGGCACTGTTTAACTAAAGCAAATTATCGGTCGATCACAATTGCCACTGGAATATAATACTTTATCTTTGTCTAATTCAATTTAATATTATTTACTATGTTATCATGACATTATTTTACCATTGTTGATTCTCATTTTCCTCTTCTGCTTAAATTGACTCGTCTTATACCCATGTGTTTGTCCCCCGTGTATCTCGTGTTGCCTCCCTTCGCAATTATCGCTTCTCAAACTGATGATGATGATGATGATTAACGGTGCTTTTGTGTCCTAGTCGGTACAATTTACCGGTGGTCATTATTTTTTTGTTTTATTGCGTGTTGTTTTTGGTCTTTTGTGCCTTTATTTTTAATCAAAAGAAATTTTCTCTCTTCGCTCATCCTTTTTGTCATTTTTTGCCTTTTTTAAATTTCTCTTATATATGCTGTTCTATTGTTTGATGTCTTTTCATCAACTGTATGAACCGTTTCTCGTTTCCTTCTTGTTATTACCGACATGTTTATGCATTCACATACAATTACAACACATAACTTGACAGCCTATCTGCTCCCGATTTTTGCTAGTCATAACTGCCGTGTTGTGTCAATGTATATCACATTTAACATGTTTTTCAGCTTTGTGTTAAAGTCTGTTCTAGATCATGTGTTTGATGTGCTGACTGGTGTACGCTCAGTTATCTTAAAATCTTTATTCTACCCTTTAAATATACTGAAATTTATTCTCTAAACGTGGAAAATTTTATTCGTATTTTATCCCGTTTTTATCCAGTTACGCAACATCTACATCTTTGTCTGTGTGTTTTGTCTACTCTGGTAACAATGTTTGTACATGTATACCAGCTCATATGCTCCTGTTTGTATAACTTGTTTTGTATACTGTTGACCATCATCAGCACTACTTCCGTATGCTCTATGCACATCATAATTATTTGTTTCTGTTTAACTGATCTCTTGGTATAAAAACAGCACACGTACATATGTCCACACGCAGTCATTATCAATCGCACATATATGCTACACCAGATACTACTTACTACCTAATATGGTGCATATATACGCTTATAAATATGGCACATACATGTTAACGGTAATAATAACCAACCCTAACAATGTTAACAAAATTTACATGTTTTACAAGTTTCTGTTTTGTTTTGCTTCTTTTAATCGTTAAATGTTTCTCATTTTGTTGTTTTTATTTCATTCTAATCATGATAAGTTGCTGGCAAATGTGAACGTATATTCCTTTTATTATCACTACTCAATATTACTATTATCTTATTGTTATTATATCTAAATGCGAATAAACATTTTTCTGTCATATGTGTTTATCGTTTTCAGGTCATTTGGGTGCTTGCACAAGCAAATTGACTTGTAGGGTATTTGACTTCTACATAAATGTTCAGCTCAACATTGAATTTAAACCATAGTTTCTGGATGTCCGTCTGCTTATCCCTTGGACCAATGTGCATGTACAGAAATCTAACGCGAATTTTATTTTGTTCGTTACAAGGAATTGAAGTAGACTATGTCATTTCTACTTCTGGATCGATTTCGTGTTATGCATTTGAATCAATGGAATAGGCAACTGACTCAATCTTTTTCGATGTAACACGCATCGAAATAGTGTTCAACCATTTGTAAAATTTGTATACAAACCGGTTTTTTCAATGAAGGTTGGTCCTTCTGTTTGTAGGTGTTTGAATCTTCCTGTTATCGATGTTAAAGACTGCGATTGACCAGTCTCTTTTGGCTATATGTGTATCCTGAACGGGTTGCCACGATATCATCTTTATTACATAAGGGTTTTCCAGAAAAGTTGGATAGTGACTCGCAGTTTAATCCGGTACGCGCTTTTTGTTTGAGTCTCGTTAGCTGGATGTACTTGCCTCAGTGTTCATGTTCGCTCCTGAACTCAAAAGTAGAACTAGTTGGCAAGTTCTAAATAGATCGAAATGCTCATTTTCAGTCCCAGTGTTAGCTACTACCTTACTTTGTATAAGCTAATGATTGTTTGTAGAGTTTCTGTCGAAGTATTGGCGACTTTCACATTAGTTTACATTCAGGTTCTTGTTATTTTAATGATTGTCAAAAGCTCATGTTATGGTTTTTCGGAATGCTTGCATGGTTTGGTTTCAATGTACGAACACTCGACGCCTGTTCGATATAGCCGTAGTACAAAATGTCTTATTTTCCTCGATGGGTTAGTTTTCCTTCTACTTAGCTAACTGTCCTAACTGATTATAAATAATACGTATAGATTCAATATGGTTTTGTTTGATATCAGAAAAGCGTTAATCTATTCATAACATTTTGTTTATTTTAGCCTAGTCATTTTTTTAAATTTTCCATATATTGATTGATTGTTTATTCCGTTATTTTTTTCTAAGTTGAAATTTAATGATCCTGATAATGGACAATGTGTGCATAGAGGGAGAGTTCTTTGGGAAATAATAGTCTAGATACTTATCTCGAGATCAATACATGTACATATAGTTACGATCTAATAGCACTTGTGAAGCGTTCTGTACATAAGGTATTTTATTTTGATTTCATACTGAAGACCAGTTACTCAGCGACTGACATGTATGTCGTGTGAATTTTTACACATCATATATGCGTGGCTATTATCTATCGGAGGACAACTTATTTACAGTACATTCGACATGAGTATTGGTCACAAGTTTTTACTGGTTGAATTTGTTAAAAGTTGATTGGGTATTATTGTGATATTGTACATAAATCAATGACTGGTGGGTTTGTCATGTGCGTTTTAGATTTATCACTAGGGGAATTTTCTTTTCATTTGCTTACAGAGCTTGTATTTAACTGAAGAAAAATATTTGAAATTATCCAACATAACAACTGATTAGGTCGCAATCTATAACGTATTTTAGATTCTGAAAGCATGTATCACTGAGCATCAATACTTCATATGGAGCTACTTTTACTTGTTAGATTTCAATTTTATTATTCTTATGTAAAATGTGAAACTTCGCAACTGAGATGCCCCGAAATTCCTTGGTTCGGTTTAGACTGGAGAAAGCGCGCACGAGCCGCTTATATCCGAACATGCGTTTATATCCTCTGCCAGGGAGGCTCTACACACTAGCTTTACACGGTGGTATTCATGAATTTGAAAAAAAGAAAAGTGAACCTGAATGGTGGATACGAAGTATTAGCAAACGCCGTTTTTAAAGTGTAAATCAGTCAGTCGGCAGTCCACTACAATACAGGACCAGGTACATATATGCATCAGTCTAAGTTGCCACGTCTCATTAGCACAACAAAATGAACACCAAATTCATAGAAGTAGCTACTTCAATAGTGGTGGTAATATATAAAAGAAAGATTGTGTATAAGCATATAATACAGGAAGAGAGAATTAGTTCGTAGAAAGAAAGATAAGAAGCGATTTTAATCTCATAGTTTAAAGGAAAACAGAGAGTGTATACACCTACACCATTGTGATCGATTCTCAGCCATATCATCCACAGTCTCCAACCATTGGTTATGATAGTGGCGCGGACCCCAACCGAGTCGTTTATATCTAGCAACATGGCTCAGACCAAATGGTGGTGACTTTGTGAACTGATGCCACATTTTAGTTTGACCGCCCCTAACTTTCTTTTAATCGTCTCGAACACTAGTCAGCATTGCGCGTCTTGGTAATCGGTGTTCAGGTATATGTAACACGTGGCCCAACCATCTCAGTCGATGAAGATTTACAACCTCATCAACTGATTTACCATCATTCTCTAATACCCTGCGTCTAACCTCACTATTATTTACCTGGTGATCCATCAGATGTGAGCAATATTTCTAAGATATCTGTGAACAAATACTAGTGACTTACGAGTATCTTTTACCCTTAATGGTCACGTTTCGCAGAACGAACTGTTGCGCAGTATACTCGTCCCTTAATTGACAGACGGATGGATATCTCACCTTCATCATGGGTGACATAGGTTGGCAAATACCAAACGAGCTTTCTGAATGCGCGCAGAGATTTCGTCAGATATCAACACATTAGGACTGATCAGACTTCAAAGAAAAGTGAAATTGTCAACGTGTTTGACTATTCTACTCCCTATCCTTAGTTCAGGTGTTGACACAGGCCAGTGTGGAATCAATCAACAATTAGCATTTAGGAGGGGAGAAACGCATCTCAAACATCCTGACATTGTAGCTCGGTGCTATCAAAAGACTGTATTTTATCAGCGTGTTCACCAAACATGACTATGTGGTCTGTGTATTCTGGATGGATAAGTGGACGTTGTGGAAGGAGATTAATTCCTGAAAATGCAGTCGACGAGAATGTTATTTCCAGCACTAGCTCTATGATGAAATTAAGGAGTAACGGATATAGTAGACATTATTGACGGACACCACGTAAGGTTGCGAAACTAGATGATATTTCTCCATAAGCTCTGATTTGACTAGTAATGTTCGAATAAAGACCCTTCACATGGTTTATGTACATTTGAGGTAAGCGTTTCAATGACAGACACTGTAACAGAACCTGTCGGTCTA